TTTCTAACTGATTTTCTTTCTCCCGCTGAAAATACATGCTGAATTAAATCAAATTCGCATTCATGATCAGTCAGTGGTTTGTTATTATTGCTACTATTATTATTATTTATTACTGTTGTTATTGTCATTGATATTATTGCTATTATTATTTATTATTTGTCATTATCATCAGTGTAATTGCTATTATTATTGCTATTATTATTTGCTGTTGTTATTTATTATTTCTTATTATTTTTATTTATATTATTGTCAATATTATCATCATGGTTATTACCGTTACTAATTGAAAGAATAATTGAACAATTGTCATCACTGATTTCGTTTCGATTATTTCCATTAAGAACGATTCAAAAATCACAGTTGATGGCAACGTTCACCATTCATAATGATCAACTTCATTTATCGCTATTCTTCTTCACATTTCGAAGTATAATTCCATCGAAACAAATATTTGCTCAGTGAATAACATTACCATTCCTCAAACGCATTTCTTTCGATGAATGTTCAATTATCTCATCTTTCATAAGGTGAAACTGCCAACTGAATGCGAGATTCTTCTGCATCGGCTGCTATTCTGCACTCATCCGGTGCGGGGCCGGATGCTGGAGCAGTGAACGACGATTCTGATGGTGAACCGAAGGTGACTGCGAATCGGCGACAGGTGACTACAATACGACTTGGAAAGTGCACATTGAACGATCTGAAACAGTGTTTTATTGTTGTAGTGCGTTCGTTGTTTGTTGTTCTTAATTCATTTCAGTGCCACTATGAATCGTAATCTGAATCACTTCCACTATCGTAATCATCAGAATGCCTTAAGTCGATAAAAACATCTGATAATACGACTATCCCTACGTTCAAACCTTAGAATACTCTTTTTCGCCCCTAAATCTGATATCCTCCCCGCGATTCATCATCATCTTGCCATGCGTGCAATAACTGTGATCACTCTCTTAGCATTCGCAGTCACCATGTCTCATTACGAAATCATTTCATAATCCATCCGCATTTTTTATCATTCATTTTGGAGACACCGCTCGATCACTGTCAAAATTGTTGTTTTAGAAGGGGCATTTCTCAAACTACGCAAATTTCGATACGTTTAAGTGNAGAACAGTTGCACATGAATCAGTTCAGATAGGCTCTGTCGGTCTTCTATTCATACTCGTAATCACCACCGTGATTCTTCTACGAAACTTCTTCAATCGGTCAACTCAAACGTCAACTTTGAATGCAGCACAAATCTATTTCAACGAACTACTTGAGCAAGTCAGAAGTGAACAGCACTGGACGGTGCGTGCTCGTTCGTGTTCATTTGGGTGTTTTGTTGCAGATCCTTTGAATTTTAACTTCCGAAGTTGTCGCACTCAAGTGCAATTTTTCGAAGTACATTTTGAGAAATATTTGAAATCGGTGCCTATAATCGATGATCTCTTCTCAAAGTGACCAACTGAAATAGTGTTTCTAATTTCAGGCTGTCGCCAACGAGAATGCTTTTCAACGAAGACAGCTGATCGAGAATAATGTGGAAATACGTCGCGTAGAAAACTATTCAGCAACTGCTGTATGCTGCCGCTTCACTCAAATTTCATTTCTATCAATATACCTCATCTAATCACAATACCTTTCCTAATCATTACCTCATATGCCATAGCGAGTAGTACATCATAACGAATCATAATACTCTGTCGAGTAAAGTCACCATAAAAATGTTGCTCTAAACTGAAACCAGTCCCAAAACAACACGCCATTGATAATGGTGTACGATTTTCCACCGGGACTTAATGAAACTTAATGAAAACGTTATTGAAAACTTAATGAAAAAGTGTTTTTCACTGAATATCTAGAAAATGAATTGAACATTTACAAATTTTCATCAGTAAAAACACACTTTTCGATTATGCTGAAATCGCTAATCAGAACAAATATTAAAGCGATTTATACAAGCGCAGTGCTGAGATTCCTGGCCATAATAAATAACTTTATCATTGCTCTAATCACAATAATTATTGCAAAATCATCCGTTCCAATTGTCAATTGATAAGTTTTTCTTTTCATTTGAGTATCAAGGTGAATATGAACGAATCTATTCGTCGACATTCCATCCTCGACATAGTTATGAACTGATTAGTGCTTTGCTAAACAAATTCCATATACCGCCATCAGTTGCACAACATTTCGATGCACGTCAACATTGGCCATTGTGCCGATCGTCAATTGCAAAAGTCTACGATCAAGGCGATTGCTGGAATTATTGGGTTGGTCCTCACTTGAATGAATGACTTTGCTTGTCTAATGGTGAAACTGGCTGCTATTCGGAAATTCTGATTCATAAGAGAATTTTGCACGCTTCAGCTTAATGACGAACTATCGCCATACCAAAAAAACATTCATGATTTATTCATAGCAATATTAGTACATCTCAATGGCAACAGCACATTATAAAATAACAGTCCTAGTGGGTTCAACGATAATCAATCGAAATTAGCGTTGAAGTCATCGTCTAAGTAATCTTAAATTTGACAAAACCATTCCCAATCAATCGGCCACAACTCTTCTTTCAGCTTTTCGCAACTTTATCCGCCATTGAGGATCGTATTTGTATCGCGTCGAATGGTGAAGAAAAGATGAAACTTTCAGCGTTTCACTTGCTAACGTGCTGTCAAGAGTGTGGAAGTTGTCGAGGTGGAAACCCCGAGGCGGTTTATATTTATTGGGTTAAATACGGTATCACCACGGGTATTTTTTACATTCTCTCATGAAACATTCTACTCAGAATGCTGCTAGTTCAGATGAAAATATCCTTTTGCATTTTGGATTTGAAACCATCATAATCTTCAGTTTAAACATCACGCATTTACCATCATTGTTCCGTCATCGAATCAACGTGTTGATATGAGAGTGTGTCGTTGAATATAGAGGAACTGAAATTAATTTGTATGAGCAATCATTAATAGATCTTCAAGTATTCGGTTGACTTTTTAAAGATAAAGAAAAAAGTATTCCGTTCTTGAGGAGTAGTATTCCTCAGGATAAAGTATTCCCCATTTGACTGTGCGGATAAAGTTCATAACAAATTCTATGCTCTCTAGAGCTATGTCAACCGTCCGATGGACTGATGTCGTACATAGACAAAGGTTGTGGCAGTCCATGCGCACTATCTTCAGTCAAAAAAGCGGATCGTCAACTGCGATCTCACATAAAACCGTGTCACAGTGAATGCTTCAATGCTGAGCATCGTTATCTGGATATTTACGATCAAACACAAATCAATGTTCATTACGGTGTGCAATTGGTCATATTACTTATTCGTATAGATCAGGCTTTCTCAGCCTGTGGTCCATGGACCTTCCAGAGATCCGAGACGGCATGCCAGGGAATCTGAAAGGGGTTGGGATGAGA